CAACATCCCTGGAGTGTCAGATCCAGGCAGGAAGCTGAAGCTCTGGCAGCTCTGCTGGGACTCCTCGGAAGTCTCGTCTGGCTCCTCCTCGTCCTCGTGGTCCTGGCCCTGGTCCTCGGGCATCAAATCGGCTTCATCATCTGGCTCGAGTGCTTCCCGGACGTAAATGGCGCTACCCGGGTCGTGTCCCCAGGCGTGTCTGACATGAAGGTGAGCGTTGAGCTCGACGAGGGATACCCTGACGTAGTCGTGCTTATGCTGCGCCAGAGGAGGTTCTTGGCGCCCAGAGGCAAACAAACAATTTTTGATGTTACACACATTTTTGTTTGTAGGTTTTTCGGGTTCTTGCTTTTCCTGGCCAAGAACTGTTCAAAACGGCCCAAGAGGCTCCAAAGATCGCCCCAAGACGGCCCCAGAGGCCCCGGAAGGGCCCGAACATATTCCAAGAGGGCTCCGAGACAGCCCCACAGGGGCCCCAAACGGTCTAAAAGGGCTCCAAGACGGCCCCAAGAGGGTTCCAAGACGGCCCCGAGGAGAGCCCCAGGAGCGCCCAAAGAGGCTCCCAAGGGAGCCCCAAGAGCCCCCCAAGAGAGCCCCACCACGGCCAATTGCCTCCAGGACGCCCGCCCCAGGCGGCCCAAACGTGCCCCAGCAGGCCTCCCCAAGGGCTCCAAGACGGCCTCCAAGAAGACCACGACGAGGCCTAAGAGACAATCAAGAACACCATGGCTCACATCGGCGAGCGGTGACGTAACAGGCTCTTGACACCAAGGCTCCCCAGAGCGCGGTGACGTGAAGAGCTCGTCGCACCAATGCTCCCAAGAGCGAGCGGCAACGCAACAGTGTCTAAACACCAGGGCTCCCAACGGAGAGCGGCGACGTAACAAGCTCTTCGCACCAAGGCTCCCAAGCGCGAAGGTGACGTAAAAAGCTCGTCACACCAAGGCTCCCAAGAGCGAGCGGCAACGCAAAAATCTCTGGACACCAGGGCTCCCAATAGAGAATGGTGACGTAACAAGCTCTTCCCACCAAGGCTCCCAAGAGCAAACGGTTACATGACAAATTCTTGACGATTCGCGTAACCCCACCAGCCCATTTTTGTTGTTTCTGTTGACATGCAGCACTGGTTAACTACCTCTGGCGCCTGGTGCGACAAGGTTCAATTCGTCCTCTTCCTGGTGGTCTCGCCTCTGGGATGCCCGCACGGTGGCCGCCTGGCTCTCCTGGCAGCTTTCGCAGCCTGCCTTCAGCCCACGGCGCCCCTCAGCCTCCCTCGGCGGCAGCCTCGGCAGCCGTGTGTGCGTCCGCTGGGTAATTAGGCTTCGCCCGTAGTCCGGGTTGACCTCTGACGCCGCATGCGCCTTCGCCTGCGGCTGCGACGAATAAAAATAACCCCACCAGCCTATCCAGAAACGATGGCCAGAGGAATTGCCTCGATCAGGGAAGTGGGCAGCACACAGAGGAAGGGTCCCCAGTGGAGGCCTCTTGGAGCGTCTTGGGGGCCTCTTGGCGGTCCCGGACGCCTCTTAGCGCGTCTTGGGTGTCTCGGAGAGCTTCTTGGGGCCTCTTGGGGGTCTTTTGGGAGCCTCTTGGAGGCCTCTTGGGCGTCTGTTGGGGCCTCCTGGGGCCTCCTGGGCGCCTCTTGGGGCCCTCTTGAAGCGCTATTGGGAGCCTTGGGAGCACTCTTGGAGCCCTGGGCCATCTTGGAGCCATCTTGAAGCCTCGGATGGCCATCGGAAGCGAAAAGGCGAGAGAGCCAAGAACCTTGATTTTTTAAAGGTCTTGGCCTCTTCGGGGCCTCCTGGGGGAGCTCTTTGGCCACTTGGAGCCGTTTTGGAGCGGTCTTGGCGCCTCTTGGAGCATCATGGGAGCCATCTTGAGGCATCTTGGGGTATCTTGAGCCATCTTGGATGTCATCTTGGGCTCTCCCAGGCGCTCTTAGAGTTATTTTAAGCAGTGCCCCCCCCAGGAGGCCAACATGTGGCCAAAACTTTAGTAACATCAATAATTTTGGCATTCTCGCCGAGGCCTCTTGGAGCGTCTGGGGTGCCTCTGGGGGAACTCTGGGGGCCTCTTGGGGGTCTCTTGGGAGCCTCTGGGGGGCATCCTGGGGGCCTCTTGGGGGCGTCTTGGGGCCTGGGGGAGGGTCCGGGGGAGGGGGCAAACCCGAAGACATTGGATCTGATGGCTGCTGGGGGGCCGTTTCCCCCCCATTTTTTCGAGTGAAGCGGCTCCCGGGCGGCTCCGCTGGAGCTTCAGATGGCCGCTAGACGGTTTAAGAGAGCCTCGAGACGGCTCCAGAGGCCCTGAAGAGGGCTCCCGAGAGGGCCAACAAAAAATTGATTTCCGTAAGGTTTTTGCAGCTTTCTCGGGTTCTCCCCTTTTCAGTCCCACAGAAGGGCCGCGGACGGCCCAAGAGGCCCCAAAGATCGTCCCAAGACGGCTCCAGAGGCGCCCCAAAGGGGCCCAGAACGGTCCAAGAGGGCCCCCAGTCGGGCCCAAGACGGCCCAAGAGGCCCCAAAGATCGTCCCAAGACGGCCCCACAGGCCCCACAAAGGAGCCGAAAACGGTCCAAGAGGGCCCCCAGACGGCCCAAGGGGGCCCCAAGACGGTCCAAAAGGGCCCCCAGACGGCCCCAAGAGAGCCCCAAGAGGGCCCCAAGAGGCTCCCAAGCGGGCCCGAAGAGGCGCCATGGGGTCTGGGCTGCTTTGGTGTAGGGACCGGGCTGGCCCAAAGGCTGCCCAAGAGTTCCAAAACGGTCCAAAAGGGCTTCAATAGATTCCCAAGAAGCCCCAGAGACGCCAAGGGACACCATGGTTCCCCACAGCGAGCGGTGACGCAACAAGCTCTGAACACCAAGGCTCCCCAGAGCGCGGTGACGTAAACAACTCTCAACACCAAGGCCCCCAGGAGCGAGCGGCAACGTAACAGTCTTTGAACACCAGGGCTCCCAACAGAGAGTGGTGACGTAACAAGCTCTTACCACCAAGGCTCCCAAGAGCGAAGGGTGCCGTGAGCCATCTCGGGCAAGTTCCTGGTCCGCTCTTTCCGTTTCCGTGCCTCGGCGCATCCCGCCACCGCGCCTGGGTTGGGTATGAAGCCTTGGATGTTCGTTGGGATCTCGTGGCCTGTCGTTGGCCTCTTGGAGGCAGTTTGGAGGCCTCTTAGGGGCCGTTTCGGGGCCTCCTGGGGCCTCTTTTGCACCTCTTGGGGGCCTCTTGGGGCCTCTTGGGGCTTCTTGGGGGCTTCTGGGGGGCCTCTCCGGGCCCCCTGGGCGCCTCTTGGGCCTCCTGGGGGCCTCTTAGGGCGGAAGGCTCGGATTTCCGGTTCGTGTTCCCTCTCTTGGGCCCCCTTGGGCCGTTTTGGGCACCTATTGGGCCGTCTTGAGGCCCTCTTGGGCCGTTGTGGGGCTCTCTTGGAGGCCTCTTGGGCCATCTTGGGTCGGTCTTCGGGGCCTCTAGGGCCGTCTGGGAGCGTCGGGAAGCCGAAACGGCGAGAACGCCAAAGTCTTTCAAACACCGTCAGAAAATCAAGTATTTCTGCCTTTGGGGGCCCTCTTGGGGTGCCTCTTGGAGGCCTCTTGGGGCGTCTTGGGAGCCTTTTGGGCCGTCTGGGAGCCATCTTGAGCGTCTTGGAGCGATCGTTCGGCGACTCGGGGCCCTTTGGACCTTCTTTGGAGGCTTTTCGAGGCTCTCTCGGCCCGTCTTGGGGCCTTGTCTTGCCCGAAAAAGTCACGCGACAAGCCCTGGGAGATGTGAGAGCCAGGGGTCCGGTCCGGGTCCCTTCGAATCTTCAGGAGTGAGGAGTGAGGCTCAGAGGATCAGGCAAAGGACACGAGTGGCGCGGATTACTCCGTAACATTGAAGACTCAACATTGTAGCAACAACAACAACAACAATCCGCATCTTGGAACCCCACTTTAGCCACGCGCCCAGGGACAGTGAATGACCGATTGGCCCCCTCGCTCTGATAAATAGGAAGGGGAAAGGAGGGATGGGCGCTGTGGCTTGGAGCGCTACCATTGCACTCACGCCATGTTCTTGACATGGCCGCAGGCACAGCGAGGGTCAAAGCGCGAAGATCGCCTCAGAGATACCCTGGATACGCAAGCAACAGTAGTCCACTGTCTGTGCGTAGTTTCCTTGTGTATGTTCGAGAGCCTCCTGGAGACCTGTCAGGGTCTTCTTGACGGTCTCTTGGGAGACCCTCTCGGAGCCAAAAGGGCCTTGCTGAACTTCTCTAGGATCGCTGTTTGGCTTCCATGGGGCCTTTGGGGTCACCTCAGGGCCGTCTTCAAGGCTTCCGAGGCTCGTCTTGAGGAGCAACAGCGGTAATGCATGCTTTGCAGAGCGGCAGGGCAACCTTCTGGGGGACAAGCGGAGCTGCAGCAAAGGCCGAGTGTGGACGTGCGTGCACGGGCGTCGACCGCGGGAGAAAAACGTTGAGCGAGAGACAGGCGCGAAGGGAGGGAGCCACGCCTCTCCCCGGGCAAAGAAGGCACCTCACTGCCTGCGCTGCCGCTCCCTCCACGTCCCGTCAGTCTCCTGCAGCCCTTCTCGCGTGGTCGAGCTCCCTCGCTTCTTCCTCTCCCGCCGGAGCCCGTGCGGCCCTGTTTCTGGCATCGCGGATGAAACGGGTGTTCGTCTCCCCTCGCTCGGGGTGTCCACGACGGGGGTGCGGACCAGAGGTGCAAGGACACCCGTGGCCAGGGCCATGACACCTCCCAGACTCCATGGCTTCGTCTTCTTCTTCGTCTTCTTCTTCTTCTTCTTCGTCTTCGTCTTCTTCTTCTTCGTCTTCGTCTTCTTCTTCTTCCGACACGGTCCCTGGCCCCCCCGTCGTCCGCGCGCGCGCCCTGGCCCCTGCTGCGCCCCCCCCCCCTGACCGGTTCCCCCGGCCCACCTCTTCGGGGCGCCCGCCTCCCGAGGCTCCGGCGTCGCAGCGGGGCCCGCGGGGGCGCAGGCCCCTGGGCCAGGGGTCGGAGGGCCTCGTCGCCGCCATGGCTGCCCCAGCCCTCTCCGCCCGGGCGCCCTCCGCGCGGGAGCGAGCGGCGCAGGGCGGCGCCGGCCTCGGCGGCCCCCACACGCCGGGCTCCGGGCTGAGCCTCGGGGGCGGGGAGGCCACCGAGGATCGGCTGGAGAAGTGGCGGCTATCCCTGCTTCCCTGGCACGGGTGCCTCTCCCTCTGCCTGGCAGGTCCCAGGGGTTCCCCCCGTTTCGGAGTTCAGGGATTCCCCCCAAGATTGTCGTCGCCTTTCGGCTTGTGAATCTTCAGGGGGGCAAGGGTACGTTCAGGGCTGGTCAGAGCCCCAGGGCCTGGGGGGGCCAGCCCAAGTATATCCAACAGCTCCCATCGTCCATGTCTCCGGCGAGGCTCCCCGGAAAATGCGTGTCATGATCGCCCCTTGTCGGTATCCCCCTTCTGGCTGTCCCTCCCTGTGGCTCCTCCGAGAGGAGGAACTGGAGGCGCTACACCAGGAGCACGCCGCGGCCGTGAGGTGCTTGCGGGCCGACTACGAGGCGAGGGTGCAGCGCGGCCTGGAGCTGCAGAGGCTGCTTGACGAGTGTGACGCCTCGCTGCGGGAGCGCTCGGAGCAGTCTGCTCGGGACGCGCTGGCCCAAGAGCAGCTCGCCTCTGGGCGGCTGACGCTGGAGCGCCTCGCCATGCGGCGAGAGGACGTCGCCGTCGGCGCTGGGGCGCTGCTGGAGGCCAGGCAGCGCGAGGTGCGCAGGCTGGAGGGGCGTCTCGCGGAGCTGTGGGGCGAGGTCGGCGGGAGCCGGGGCCCGGGGCGGCGGAGCGGCGCCGAGGAGGGGCAGCCGCCAGCGCCCGCCAGCTGCGACCTGCTCGCCGAGCTCCGCGCCGCGGCGCGCGCGCAGGAGGAGAAGGCCGACGTGCTCGGCGCCGACCTGCGCCAGGTCCTGCAGCACGTCGTCCGCGCCTGCACCGAGCCGTCCACTCCCCCTGGGCGGCCCTGGCCGCTGCGAGAGCAGCCGCTGCTGGAGGCCAGGCAGGCCATGCGCCTGAGCGAGCAGGGGCAGGCGCACCTCGAGGACCTGCTGCGGCAGGGCACCGCGTTCGGCGGCGCCTCCGGGGCGGCCACGGAGGACGGCGGCCTGCTGCGGCTCGGGCTCCTACCCGGGCCCCTGCCGTGCAGCAGCCTGCTGGGGGCCGCGCTGGAGGTGGACGCGCAGCGCGGTCCCGCCGAGGAGGAGAACGCGGACGACTATGACCCTCGGGCGACCTTCAACGAGGAGGCCTGGCTGCTCCACGACCGCCTCGCCTCCGAGGCGCGCTGCGTCACCCAGGCCATCTTCTCGGACCTGCCGGCCGAGGCTGGCGGCGAGGCGGCCAGCGGCAGCAGGGCGGCGCTCCTGAAGGGCCGCGAGCTCCACCGCGCCGCCGCGCTCGGGGACCACGCCGCGCTGCTGAGGGCGCTGAAGGCCATGGCGCCCGCCGTTGCGCGGTCCGCTGGCGGTGGGGACGCCCCGCTGCTCGGCTGGACCGCGTGGCACTCGGCGGCGGCGCACGGGCACGCGGCGATCCTCGAGGCGCTCGACGCGCACGCGGACAGCAGCCTCCTGCACGGGCTGGACAGGCGCTCGGCGGCGGGCTACCCGCCGCTGGCGCTGGCGTGCCTGCACGGCCACGTCGAGGCCGTGCGGTGGCTGCTGAAGCTGCGCTCGCCGGTCGAGGCGCGCGACTCGAGGGGCAACTCGCCGCTGCTGTGGGCCGCGGCCGGCGACGCGCGCTGGCTCTCGGGCAGCGTCTCCTCGTCGCGGAGGGCCATCGTGCAGATGCTCCTGGACGCTAAGGCCGACCCGGAGGCCAGGAACGCCAGCGGCCACAGCGCCCGCTCTCTGCTCGACCCCGAGCTGGAGAGCAGCCCCTGCTCCTCGCTCTCGGGCGCGTCCCCAGCGTCCTCGCAGAACGAGGTCGGTCCCCGGCGCCCCGCGGCGAGCTTCGGGGACCTCTCCGAGGACGGCCAGCGGAATCCGCCCAGGACCTCCCTGCTGGCGCTGGCCTCCGCCGAAGGCCCAGCCGCGGCGGGGCGAGGCTGCCACTGCATCCGCACCGCGGGGTCCGCGGCCTCCGAGGCCGAGCACCACGCCCGCCGCGCCGGCAGCGTCAGCAGCTACCTGGACTTTGCGATGAACATGTTCGCCTCCAGCGACTCCGCGGGGTTTCTGGGGAACGAGGAGGCGGAGGCCGCAGCGCAGCTGAGCCACGAGGAGCGCCAGGCAGCGGTCTGGTCCGGCTGGGTGCGGAACTTCACCCACCGGGGCCTGCGCGCGGCTTTGGGGACCCGGCTCTCGGCCGCGGAGCCAGTTTTCGCCGACCGCTACCGCCAGGTCGCGGCTCTCACTTGCGAGAGGCTGCTGCTCTTCGACACCGCCGCCGGCGCCCAGAGGGGTGGGGAAGTTGCCCTTCGGGGAGCCCGAAGAAGGTGGATCCACGTCTTTCTCTTCCCTCGTCAGAAATTTCCCCTCGTCGCACCACCAGGCGTGTAGGTAACTGGGGCGGACAGGGCGTTTCGTGCGAGAGTGTCCCCTCCAACAACTTCTGATGCTCAAGCTTGGTTTTCAACAGGTTCACGGATGGGGGGCGGGCCGTTTCGAAGATGCGGCTTTCGGTGTACCGCCGTGCGTATTCGCTCTAAGCTATCAAGATTTACATGGCTGCAGGGCGGCCCTTTTTTTGATTAGCGCCGCACATATTCGTTTCAAGAGTTGCAGCTCTACCTTCTTTCAAAAGTAGCAGCTCTACGCGGATGGTGGGTGGGCCGTTTTCAACGTGTGGCTCCCTCCTTGGTTCCACGCTCTTACGTCGTTCCCGTTTTCCAGCAATTGCTCTGACGGACTTCGATTCCTTTTCAAGATGTGGCTCTCACCCTAGCGCCGCTGATATGCGTAATATGTTGCAACAGCTGCATTACCTGGATTGAGGCCGGTTTCTTCTCAACATGGGGCTCCTGCGTAAGTTTGCTTCAGTTCTTTGGCGCACAACTTTAGTCGTGCGGTAGTTACGCGGACGCAGGGCGGCTCGTTTGCAACGCTGGTTTATCGTTGTGATATTTGGGCTCAGGATGTCCCGAAGCTTCTAGAGGCGCAACTCTTGCACGGATGAAGGGACGTGTCTTCTTCAGTTTGTGACTTCAGTCAGCCGATGTCTTTTTCGTCTTTGAGGGGCTCGTACCCTCTTTTTGTAATGCATTATTCGTGTGATTTCTTGATGCTGATGATTCCGACGATGACGGTAAAGACGACGAGGATGATGATCTTGTGATTATGTGAATACAGAGGATGATGCTGTTATTGTTGTTGTTGTTGTTGTTGTTGTTGTTGTTCTTGTTGTTGTTCTTGTTGTTGTTGTTGTTGTTGTTGTTGTTGTTGTTGTTGTTGTTGTTGTTGTTGTTGTTGTTGTTATTGTTGTTGTTGTTGTTGTTGTTGTTGTTGTTGTTGTTGTTGTTGTTGTTGTTGTTGTTGTTGTTATTATCGTTGTTGTTGGTGTTGCTGCTGCCTCTGCTGTTGTTGTGGTTTTTGTTGTGGTTTTTGTCGTTGTGGCTGTACTTGTTTTGTCATTGTTGCTGTTGGTGTTGTTTCTGTTGTTGCTGTTGATGCTGTTGTCGTATTCGTTTTTGTGTTTGTGTTTATGCTTGTATTGGTATTTGCATGTATAGTTATTTTTGTTGTAGTTGTAGTTGTTGCTGCTGCTGCTGCTGTTGCTGTTGTTGTTGTTGAACATTATTTATTCTAAAGAATAACTATTGTTGGGACCCCTGGTGCGCGGCCCCCTCGCCGCGCCTAGGCCGCAGCCACATTTTCATCATTTTCGTGAGGAAGTCTCAGGCAAAACGTGGGTGTCCGGATCCGGTTGTTTTGTTGTCCCCCGTTTTCCCTTGCAAAAAATAAGCTAAAGTGGACATTTCTTGTTCTAACATAACCAAACTTCAAGAATCCCTTGCAACAAATAAGGTAAAGTGGACATTCGCGCGCGCAAGACGAAATCCTTCCAAAACCTTAGTTTTCGTAGCGATTTTAACATAAAAACATCAAAAAACCAATGGTTTTTCAAAAAAAAATGTCAAAATTCATCCCGCGCGCTCTTGCGGATTCGTAGGAAACCCAACACTTTTTAAACATTTCTGTCAAACGGGCTTTTGCGAGCAACTTTTTCGAACTTCTGCAACAACGGTTGCGCACCTGCCAGGGCCATCATCCCTGTCAAATAATACCATGCGGGACACATTCGTTTTTTCTTCGCGCGCGCACGCCGTCGTCGTCGGCCGCGGGGCCCTGAATAGTAGCCACGGTCGTCCGCATGCCACGAAGTGAAGTGTCCGAACGTCATAGGGCGGGAAGCTGGGTGTGGGTGGTGGCGAAGAGTCGTTTGGAAATTTGGTAGAGCTTGAACCGGCCCCCCCACAAAGTGGGGGTATTGCCCGCCTCCTATGAAAACCCTGGCACTGGTGAGAACGGAGTGTCCCCACGTGCTAGTAATTGTTGTTGTTGTTGTTGTTGTTGTTGTTGTTGTTGTTGTTGTTGTTTTGACGGTGGTAATGAGGATGGTGATGAGTGTGATGACGATGTTGATGATGAGGATGACGATGACGATGGATGATGAGGATGATGATGACGAGGTTGTGAGGATGATGATGGTGATGATGAGGGTGTTGATGATCATGATTATGAGAAGGAGGACGAGGTTGATGATGAAGATGACGATGACGATTATGATGACGATGACGATTATGGTTATGATGACGGTGGTGGTGACGATGATGGATAGGGGGAGGAGGATGATGATGAGGAGGAGGAGGTTGAGGGGGTGGGGGAGAGAAGGGGGATGGAGGGAGGATGGAAGGACGCAAGGACGGACAGACGACCGGACAAACGGAAGGAAGGAAGGACGGATGAGGAGTTAGGAGTAGGGAGAAAGCAGGAATAATAACATCAACGACAATGAAACCAGCAATTATGGTATCCAGAAAACAATGGGAACAGTCCTAAGAGTCATTCGACACATGAAATCATATTCATGATACGCCGAATAAGGATACTGCGACAACTAAGAACAAACACGATGAGAGAACGAGGAGGTTAGGGAGTAGGAGTATGAGGAGGAAGAGGGAGAAGGAGGGTGAGGAGGAGGAAGAGGAGGAGGAGGAGCAGGACGAGGAGCATTAGGAAGACGCGCCACGACACGACCGACAACGTCCATGAGGAGCTGGAGGAGGAGGTGCTTTGGAGGAGGGCGAGGGGGGGAGGACCGGGGAGGGCGTACGACGAGGAGGAGGAGCGAAGGCCCCGTCTTGCGCGCCGTCGGAGACCGGCGGCGGGCGCGCCACCGGGGGGCAGGCTGGACGCTCGCTGGCGTCGTGGCCCTCGCGGAGATCTCGGAGCTCTTGGTGCCTCCGCAGTCGGACGCCCCGCGCCCTCGCGCGCCTCGCCTTCGGGGGGGGGGGGGGGGGGGGGCGCCAGCTCGGCCCTCGTGCGTTGGGGAGGTTCTCGTCGCGGCCTCGGTGGCTCGACGAATGCAGGCTTCTCCGCTGCGCCATGTCTGCCTTGGCTTGCAGTGTTAGGTACACGTGTCTGCCGACATCAACATATGCATAGTGTTTATATGTTTCTTTTGATCCCCACACATTTAAGTATAGCCATGCGCACTTTGCGTGGACAATCCTCGCCCCATGTTTTGATACACATGTTGCTTTCTCTCTCTCTCTCTCTTTCGCCTTCCTCTTTTCCTGTCTTTCGCAACGTTCTGCGGCGACATGTCCGTGACAGCTGCGCTGTCCTCGTCGCATCTCTTTCCGTTTTCTTTTGTGCAGGACCCGCCCGACCGCTTGTGTGCATTGTGTCCCCGTCGCTGGCCTGGACAGCAGCGAGGGGGTTCGGGATCGGACAGGCTTGGATTTGAGGGAGGCCTTTCTCCTCCTCTCACTCCTCCTTCCCCATGCCCCCCCTTTCCCCTCCCTCCTCCCTTGCCCTTCTCTCTCCTTCATCCCCCCCCTCACTGCGACCGAAAGGCGAGGAGGCGGAGGAAAGAAGAAGAAGAGGAGGAGGAAGAGGAAGGAGAGGAGGACGGATGAGGACGGAGGAAGGGAGGCAGCAGCGGCCAAGATTTTGGGCTGCGACTTCCAGTTCATCCTTCCTTACGCTCTGGTTTGGATTTTGATCGCTGGTCGCCAGAATTACGGGCTGCAGGCAGTGAGTGGTCGAGATCCGAATTTGCGTGGCTTAGGACCAGCCAAGCCTCCAAGGACAAGCTCAGCAATGATGGCGCTAGGGGATGGTAGGTGGGCAGCGCTGTTTCCGCACCTTGCAGAAGCGACCTACATTTCAAATCGTGTGTGTCTCGCAGAGCTTTTGGCCGAGAGCGCCCGCAACGCCCCAGGCTTCTTGTTCTCCTGTTTCCCTGTTACCTCCAGCAGGTGGGCAAGTTAGCAGTGCATTCGCACAGGACGATAAGGCAGTGCGCTTTTGCACAGCCTATCCCGCCGTTGTCGTGTTTCCTTTAGGCCGCGTGCCCCGTAGGGCCCTCAAACCCATAGCGATGACCTGCCTTTTGCTTGATGGCCCCACTGCAAGAAGACGCCCCCCAGACGCCGAGCAAAATATTTCCCCACATGGTGGTGGGGTTCTGGTTTTCTTCCCTCCCGCGTCGCACCCGCGTCTCCCTCATTCACCTCCCTCCCTCCCCCCTCCTCAGCCGCCGCCCCGGTTCGAGAGGTTTCGGGCGCCGTACCAGATGCGGCGAACCTCTCGCGGGGCAGGCGGCTACGCGCGCTAGCCCGCGCCCTTTGCGCCACGTCATCGGCGCCTGGGCGGCCTGGCGCTGGCCGCGCCGACAACCAGCGCAGCCGGCCCGCGGGGCCAGGAGCTGCGCGCGCAGAACCAGCCTGGCATCGTCGACAGCGACTTCAGCGAACACATTCCAGGACCCTTTTGAGGGTCGCAGCAGCAGTACGCCTCCTTCGTCTTCATCACAGCTCGATGTCGACGCAGGGCGGCCGAGGCCGCGGGCGCGGAGGAGGAAGGCACCCATGCTTCGGCAGCGGGCGTCGACCCCCATGGGTACCGCCGCCTCCCCCCGGCTGGTGGTGTGACCACTGTGAGCAGCTGAGCCCTCCTGGCACATTGTTGTGCCAGCACTGCTATCCTGGTCCAGTCGGAGGTGGGCCGCGAACCCATGACCAGCATCAGCAGCGGCAGCAGCAGCAGCGGCCGCCACGACGTGCCAGATCGTTTCAGGACGAACGAGTTGAGATGCCCCACAAACGGCGTTCGGGCTCGCGCCGCCGTCGCCGAGAGGCAGATGATCGAGACAGCCCACGGCCCCGCTCGACGCCGAGGGTGCGATTCGAGGACGAACCCGACGGTGAGCAGACGGCGTCTGACGGCGACGGCGACATCAGGCAGTCTGCCGTTGGCATCCTGCCGCGCTGCCTCAGGATGCGCGTGCTCGCCCCTCGTGGGTCGAGCCGCCGTCCGACGCGGGCGACTGCGAGCTCGCCGCCTACCGCAAGACGTTGCGTGAGATGGCGGCTGCGACGGGCTGCAGACTCCAGGCCGCCATCACGCTCGGCATGGACGAGGTGCGGCTAGCTCCTCAGAAGCTCGAGTAGGCGGTCCAGCTATGCATGATTATCATTGCGAGAGCCCCAGGTGATCGGTGTGACCGACAACGGGCATACGTCCAGCGTGCCCAGACTAAGCTGGACAAAGACAAGGATGCTCGCGAGAAGGCCCGCGTGCATTCCGAGGAGACCGACAGCAAGTGCACTCAACGGGAGCGGGAGTTTGCCCGCGCGCAGGTGCTGTTCGACCAGCTAGAGGAGTTGTGGCCGCCACCCAACACGTCCGACGACGTTGGCATGGGCAGCAGCGTGCCGCCAACCCCGCCGACGGATGGTGGCGCCGCGACTCCCACGGCGCCAGGGGCGCCGCAGGTGGGGGCACAGCCGCAGCCGCAGCTGGCCGCCATCGCCGAGCTGCAGAGCGGACAGGCCGCACTGACGCAGCAGCTCTCGTCCCTGACGGCGATGCTGGCGACGTTGCAGTCGACGATGACGTCAGCACGCTCGCCCCCTGCGCCGCCGACGGCCGCCGCGGGTGGGGTGCCGCTGCCGTCCCAGGCCAGCCACGGCGGCTAGCGCCCGAGCAGGCGGCGCGCGCCCCCACTACCGCGGGCATGCCAGTTGGCACAGCAGGGGGCGGAGCCGCAGCGGAGGCGACAGCGGCTGGAGGTGCTCCAGCTCATGACGTTACCGTGGGCGCTGGCGATCCTGCTGCGGAGGAGCTGCGCGGGCGCGCGGCCGAGGCTCGGCGGGCCAAGAAGGAGCAGGACCGCGCGCGACGTTCTGCCTGCCAGCCTCGCCTGGCCGAGGCCGCCGCCCGCCGGCAAGCAGTCAGCCATCGCGGTCGCGGCGCCGAGCCACTTGAACCAGCGGGCCGCGCACGAGTCGCAGAAGAAATGGGCGACGAGGCGGCTGCGGCGGCCGCCGGGCGCACCAGGCACAGCCGCGACCGCGGCCCGAGGAGGCCTGGTGGCTTCGAGGTGGTCGGCGGAGGCGAAGCTTGCGAGTCCGCAGATGATGCATCGGTGCCGTGGGCGCTGGATTGATGATTCGCGACGGGCAAGCTGAGGCGGGTGAGATGCCTTCGCTATCTCGCAGCTTGCCCGAGGCTGGCAGTACAGCCGACGCGAGCGCGCCGCCCTCTGCCCGCGGTGCCGTTGAGCCTAGCCGCCCTGTCTGCCCTTTGCCGGACTGCAGTTCTCTGGTCAGGCGTGTATGTCTGCCCTGGCCCAGCAGTCATACTCTCACTCCACTCTTCCTTGGGCCTTATCAGGGCCCAGAGCATTGCATCTTCCAACCGTGCCTTCGCAGTATTGCGGTCAAGTTTTTCGAAACTCACGCCCCCCCCCCCTTGCCCGAGGATTCTCAGCCTGTCAGGTTCGAGATTCACACAGATGGTTCAGGAGGCTTCCGTTCCAAGGGCGCAGGTGGGCCACCGTCTTGGGCATGGGCTTTATTTTCAGTTACACGTAACGAACACTATGTATGCCATGGGTACCAATGTGGAATAGATCCTACTCTCTCCGACGTTGTTGCCAGTGTCTCCAGCGCAGCCGAATTTCAAGCTGCACTGTGGCTTGTGCTATGGCTACTTCAAGCGCCCGAGTGTTTCCGATCCCGTCCACTGGTGGTCTACACTGATAACGTCCTCGTGGTTCACTTGGCCGAGGGCGGATACAGGTGCAGTTCCTGTGGGGGCCTCCCCGAGCTCTTCGATGGGGCCCTCGAGCTACTGAGACGTTACGTATCACCATCTTGGAAACATATCTTGGGGCACAATGCGGACCCGCTAAATGAGCTTGCAGATGCCATTGCACGGCTAGCCTCCATCGGATTCGCACCAGTCGTGGAAGACGATTGGCAGCCGTGGTCAGCGCTACTCTCGCGTGCCGCCGCTGCCCCATGGATGTGCTTATGCGCCAGCGCCAACGTCGGTCATGAGGGGTATCCGAATGTTGGTGAAGGTGAAATGCCTACCATCTCCCGCAACTCGAGATCAGCGCCGCTTTCTCGCCGCGTGCTGGACCCAGCTCGGAACGAGAGCCAGCAACCACGTCCCAAACAGGTTTGCGACTTTGTGTTAGGTTGGCGGTGGCAAATGTGCTCACCCTGCGGCCCCGCAGGGCGGCTGGGCGCGTGCGTGGCTCCACTCGTATTCGCTGCCGTCATCAAGACGCGGCTGGGCTCGACCTGCCTGGCCGCGTGCTAGCACTTCCTCACCAGTTCTCGTATCATGGCCTTTTTTCCGTCGGCACGTTAGAAACTCGAATGTGCAGGGATGCGTGGACACCAGCAGGCGAATACATGGTAGTCACGTCGTCAGCAGATGCACGTGGCATGGGTGGCGTGGCACTGTGGGTACATGCACGACGTGAGTAGATACGTGGGTTCGTGCTTGCACGACGGCGCACATGTGTTATTAGCTATTCGGCACGACGCCTGCTTGTGGCTATCCGTGCGCCGTACCTGTGCGTGGATGTGCTTGTTGCTCACGCGCCGCACTCGCGACGACCATTGGACGATATCCACGCATGGTGGGGTGAAATCGAGAGGGGCGTCCATCGGCGAGCCCAGCCAGCCCCCCTAATACTGTCTCGTGGATGCAAACGCGTGAGTGGGCTCACAAGTTCCAGAGCATGTTGGCGATGTTGCTGGTGAGCCCGAGACCCCAGTAGGTCAGATATTTCACAGTTTCCTTCGGAACACCGAACAGTGCGCGCAATCGACGTTCTTGCCGTCCACAACTGGGGTCCACGGTGGATGGCTGGCGCCGAACCAACATGGACTTGATCTTCAGCACCGTATAGACTGCATGATTTTTCCAGCAGGGCAGCTCGATGCCG